GCAGCCAGGAGGGAGCTGAGACCCTGAGGGCGGGCCTGGTAGAAGGGTGGGCACAGGCCGAGCAGCCAGGAGGGAGCTGAGACCCTGAGGGTGGGCCTGGTAGAAGGGTGGGCACTGAGGGGAGCAGCTGCACTCAGGGCGCTCTTCGCTGCCCTCTGAGTTTGACCAGGCAGATTCTGAGGCCTTGAGCTGTGAGCTTCGTGCGTTTTTTCAGGTTCTGATCCCTAGAGGAGCTGCTGCTCTAAGGGACCAGTGCCTGGGGTCAGGGAGGCCTATAAGCTTCTAAGATGTTGACCACAGAGCCTGGGGAGGGCCCCACGGAGCCACACACCTTGATCCAATGTCAGGGTGTTGGGGTAGTGTGGGGTCCAACCCTGCCGGGCTTAGCGGGTGTTCTCCCCGTGTGCGGAAACAAGAGATTGTAAGAAATAAAGACACAAGACAAAGAGATAAAGAGAAAACAGCTGGGCCCCGGGGACCACTACCACCAAGACGTGGAGACCCGTAGTGGCCCTGAACGGCTGGGCGCGCTGATACTTATTGCATACAAGAACAAGGAGGCAGGGTAAGGAGGGTGGATCTTCTAAGTGATTGACAAGGTGAAGCAAGTCACATGATCACAGGACACGGGGGCCCTTCCCTCTTAGGTAGCCGAAGTAGAGAGGGAGGGCAGCATACGTCAGCGTTTTCTTCTCTGCACTTATAAGAAAGATCAAAGACTTTCAGACTTTCACTATGTCTTCTACCGCTGTCCTCTACGAACTTCAAAGAGGAACCAGGAGTACGGGAGGAGCATGAAGGTGGACAAGGAGCGTGACCACTGAAGCACAGCACCACAGGGAGGGGTTTAGGCCGCCAAATGACTGTGGGCAGGCCTGGATAATATCCAGCCTCCCACAAGAAGCTGGTGGAGCCGAGTGTTCCCCGACTCCTCCAAGGAAAGGAGACTCCCTTTCGCGGTCTGCTAAGTAACAGGTGTCTTCCCAGACACTGGCGTTACCGCCTGACCAAGGAGTCCTCAAGCGGCCCTTATGCGGGCGTGACAGAAGGCTCACCTCTTGTCTTCTTCGTCACTTCTCACAGTGTCCCTTCAGCACCTGACCCTATGCCCACTGGTTATTCCTAGGTTATATAGTAACGGAACAAAGAGTAATATAAAAGCTAATGATTAATGTTTATAATAATGATTGATAGTTGTCCATGATCATCTCTATATCTAATTTGTATTATGACTATTCTTGTTCTATTTTCTTTATTACACTGAAACAGTTTGTGCCTTCAGTCTCTTCCCTCGGCACCTGGGTAATCTGCCCACAGGGGAGCACCAGATGTGGGACCTGAGCTTGAAAAGGGGCTGCTGCCCCTGATGTTGCCGGGCTCCTGTGCTGCTCGGCCTCTGACCCCGGGACCTTGTCTCGGGGCCTATCTTAAGCCCCTTGGAACTTGCTGGCTGCGCAGCTGCGATGTCCTCTTGGGTTCACTCACTGCGGTGCCAGCCATGACCAGCCCCTCCCCGCAGGTGCGGGTGGCACCCAGAGACTCACGCGTGCTGTTGGGAAGTCGCTGGCAATGGAGATGGTCCTCACCGGTGACCGGATCTCAGCCCAGGACGCCAAGCAAGCAGGTATGGGTTGGGGCTGCCCACGGAAGCCACATGGAAACCCGGGGCGGCATCCAGGTGTCCCCCTCGTGGGAGCCCCACAGAAACCCGGGGCGACATCCAGGTGTCTCCACGGTGGTTGCATGAGTTTTTGGGTCCTGAGGACCTGGGAGAAGACTGACTGCCTTTTGTTTTTACGTTTTGAAGTACTGTACACACAGAAGTGGAGCCACGCGTAAGTATCTGGTGCAGAAGAACAGCCCAGCAATTACATCCCCAAAGTCCGGTGTAAGCAACGGGCGTCTCCGGGCCCTCACTGGCCAGTCCTCCCACTGCCCTGTTGGGGATCATGGTCCCCGGGTCTGGCTGCCTCTGCCGTCGGAGCTATGGACAGCCTGGCCTGCGTGTCTGAGAGCACAGGGACTGCGGTGCCAAGAGCGCTCAGCACTCAGCACTCAGGAAGGGGCACGTGCGGCACTTACTGTGTGGAGCCACCCTTGCTAATGCTCAGAGGCTGGGATGCTCCAGCACGCTGCTCCCCAGCGGCCACTCCCTCGAAAAGGAATAGACAAGCGCTCTGTCTGCACTCACTCACCGACGTTCTTGTGTTTCAGGTCTCGTAAGCAAGATTTTTCCTGTTGAGACACTGGTGGAAGAAGCCATCCAGTGTGCAGAAAAAATTGCCAGCAATTCTAAAATTATAGTAGCCATGGCCAAAGAATCAGTGAATGCAGGTAGGGGATCCTGCCAGGAAGACAAGGTAGAGAGGTCTCTGGGGCTGTCAGGAGTATCCCTGAGGCGTCTCTCTGACTGTCAGGAGCCTTCCTGAGCGGCAGGCTTTCTGGCTCCGAATGGATATGCCTTAAGCCCTCCTGGGCAGAAATGGTTCTCAGTGTCTCAGTTCTGCTGTCTCTAGAGTTGTGGTTTCTGGTCACGCCCTCAGGAACTCCGCTGAGATATTCCCAGCTCCCCTTGTACCAGGGCCCAAGAACTGAGCCAGGCCTGGGAGGTGAGGGCAGTACAGAGCTGACCATGGCAGGGAAAGGCTGAGAAGGGAGCCGAGGTCCCAAAAGTAAAATGGTCTCGCCCACGGGGAGGCTCGGTTCACCTCCCGGGACCTGGGGTTGGCGGCCGCGTCTGCGCCTGGCAGGTGGCTACACAGGCTTGCAGGCCAACGCCACGCTGTTCATTCTTGGCCTGGATCCCCTTAGTCTCCCTCTGCCAGAGAAGTGGATCTGATCTTCCCCCTCCTCAGAAATGCTCAAGTTTTATTGTCACAATTTATTCTCGGCATGAGAATGAGATGGTGGGTAGCTGGCTGAGTCCGGACAGGTGTGGGTGGCCCCAGGCAGGTCCCCTAACCTCTCTGAGTGTGTTTACCTCGAGGGTGTGGCCGTCCGCCGGGCTTGCCGTCGGCTTGAGGCAGGATACAGTGAGGAAGCATTTTGAAAAAAAGGGAGGCTGCTGTTGCCCAAGGTGTTTGGTGAGGTCGGGCTCCTCTTGGAGAGGATGCTGGCTGCAGCCCTGGAACCACCGCGCCTGCCTCCATCTGTGCATCCAGGTCTGCCCTGCTTGGCCTCGTGCAAAGGAGGGCCTGGAATGAGCAGAGCCAAAGGCGTTCTTGGTGCCAGCCACGCCCAGCTCTGGCTCCCATGCTGTCCTTCCTGGTTTTCATCCTTGTTTACTTTTCTCTGTTTGCAGCCCTGTTGCTGCCTCACAGCCTCTCCTCAAGGGCGCAGTTGGCCATCTCACCTTTCATCCAGTTCCTGTCCCTTCGTTGGGGCCCTGGGCCACCCGAGTGTGACGTGTGGGGCCGTAGGAGAGCTGTTGGTTTTGCCAGGTCTCCGCTGGGGCAGTGCTTTTGAGAAGGGCAGCGCCGTGGAAGCCTGCGCAGGGCCGGGCCACGTCGGAAGCACAGTTGTGCGTGGGTCAGTGAGGAGGGAGGAGAAGTTCTGCATGGAATAGCTCCGCTCATAACTCTAGGACTTTGTTTTTCAGCTTTTGAAATGACATTAACAGAAGGAAGTAAGTTAGAGAAGAAACTCTTCTACTCAACCTTTGCCACCGTGAGTAAACAGCGTGCAACTGGAGAATCTAGCACATTTCAGTCACACAAGTTGCTGGGAATTTCCTTTTACATCTTATCATTAAGTGTCGTTTCTTTCTGGACTGCCAGCCTCACCTTTAGCGGGATCAGATTTGTTCTATCAGTGGGTCTTGATGTTAGAAAAAAAGTAGAACATGTGGAAGTTCAAAAGTATGAAATCTTACAGGCGCTTTTCTTGTCTTTCCTGTTATGTGAGGTCTAGGAATTGCACCCTCAAGCAGCAGCTCCTTTTTTTTTTTTTTTTTTTTTTTTTTTAGGGAGTCTCACTCTGTCCCCCAGGCTAGAGTGCAGTGGCTGGATCTCAGCTCACTGCAAGCTCCGCCTCCCGCCTCAGCCTCGAGTAGCTGGGACTACAGGAGCTCGCCACCTCGCCCGGCTAGTTTTTTGTATTTTTTAGTAGAGACGGGGTTTCACCGACTTAGTCAGTATGGTCTCGATCTCCTGACCTCGTGATCCGCCCGCCTCGGCCTCCCAAAGTGCTGGGATTACAGGCGTGAGCCACCGCGCCCAGCCTGGCTACTTTATTTAAAATGCGGTTTCAGCTGGGCGTCATGCATCCATAGTCCCAGCTTCCTGGGAGGCTGAGGCGGGTTGTTCGAGTCCAACTGGTCAACAAAGCAAGACCCCGTCTCAAAAAAAAAGACTTTTTTAAAAAATGAGGCCGGGCGCCTCATTTTAATTGTTCGGTAAAATTAAAAGTGGTTTGGGCACTTGAGGAAGGGGTACAGATGCGTGCGCGCCTGGGGACGCTTGCACACAACTTGAGAAAAGCAGATGCAGAATTGAGTTCTCATGTCCTGCTCCAACACAGGGTAGCCCCTGATACAGGTCACCCATCGTCCACTTTTTGACTTGGTGAGTGACCCATACAGGTGCATCTGAGGCTCTTTAGATGTGAGCTTGTTTGACATACACAAGCTCCTGAATGACCATCACCTAAACTGGTAGAGAGAGGCAGTGAAAATCCCCTCGCCCAGGTCCAGCTCTGCTTGGGCGGGTGTCCCTGCCACTGAGTCCCCTGCCTGGACCCCTGGGCCCCTGTGAGCATGAGGTGTGTGGCAGGACCAGGGAGACACGGGCGGACAGTGGCATCAGGCTCTGTGAGGAGACTGCGCGTCCAGCTCTGTTTCTGCCCCTTTTCCTACCAGGATGACCGGAAAGAAGGGATGACTGCGTTTGTGGAAAAGAGAAAGGCCAACTTCAAAGACCAGTGAGACCCAGCCGCCCCTCCCTCACACCTTTGCTTGGAGAGAGCAAGTGCAGCCTGCTGTCAGTTTTAGAAGCAAGTAAATCATCCTCTTTTCGAGAGCAGCGTCCGTGGTGCGCAGTTTCTCTCTGCTGCGTGGTCACGGCCCGAGCTCTCACGGCATGACTGCCTTCTTCACCCAGCCTGTGAGGGTCCGTGTTCACATCCTGATTGGAGCACCTTCTTCTCATTGTTAAGATTCTGCTGAGGAGCCCCTGCTGGTCCCTCTGGGCATGCTGTGCTTGGGCGGAAAGCAGGGCCTGCGGGTCCTTGTGTCCCTGCCGCTGGAGAGTGGGGCTGCTCTGAGGGAAACACTGCTGCCTTCACACAGATGCTCTGCTGATTAAAGTGACAGCGATTCAGGTGACACCACGCCTCGTAGGTCATGTCTGGAATGAGTATTCTGTCATGTTAGTTTTTTGTTTTTTTTTTTTAACTTTTTTGTTTTTTCACTGTAAGGAACAACATTCAAAGAAAAAAGGTTTGTATAGTAAGTCGCCCCACATCATACTTCCTGGGTATCCACTGTGAACAGCTGGGCTCCTGGCTTCCTAGAGACTTCTGTGCGCACACACACATCCCCGCACACGTGCACAGGCATGGACTGTGGTTTTCTTCCATGCCCACTTACGTAGAGCCCTTTCCTCACGAGAGCCCACCTTGTTTCCTTTGTACTTCTGTCATAAGGAGCTCTGTTCAGTTTCACTGCTTTCTTCTCTGTTGTGGTAACACACGACGTAAACTTGACCATCTTAACCATTGTTTTTTAGAGACGAGGCTAGAGTGCCGTGGTCAATCACAGCTCACTGCAGCCTGAATCTCCTGGGCTCAAGTGATCCTCCCTGCTCCCAAGTAGCTGGGGCCACAGGCCTGCAGTACCACACCCAGCTAACTTTTAAAATCTATCTTTTGTAGAGATGGGGTCTCCCTGTGTTGCCCAGGCTGGTCTGAACCATTTTAAGTCCACATTTCAGCGGCATTAAGTACATTCTCCTTGTGCAACCATTACTGTCTATCCAAGAAAGCTTTCATTTTCCCAAACGCAAACTGTCCCCATTAAACAATAACCCCTTTTCTGCTTCCCTCCAGCTCCTGGCACCCATGCTTCTACCTCCTGTCTCTATGGAGGGACCTCCATTTGTCCCTTTGGGTCAGGCTCATTTCAGCCCCACGCCAGATCCCTGGGTTGAAATCCTAACCCCTACTGTGACTGCTTTAGGAGGGAGGACTTTGGGCAGTGACTAGTCATGAGGGCAGAGCTCCTCGAGTGGGATGAGTGCCCTGTGAGGGGGCGGAGCTCCTCGAGTGGGATTAGTGCCCTGTGAGGGGGCAGAGCTCCTCTAGTGGGATTAGTGCCCCATGAGGGGATGGAGCTCCTCCAGTGGGATTAGTGTTCTATGGGGAGGCGGAGCTCCTCCAGTGGGATTAGTGCCCTATGAGGGGGCAGAGCCCCTCCAGTGGGATTAGTGTTCTATGAGGGGGTGGAGCTCCTCGAGTGGGATTAGTGCCCTATGAGGGGGTGGAGCTCCTCCAGTGAAATTAGTGCCGTATGAGGGGGCGGAGCCTCTCCAGTAGAATTAGTGCCTTATGAGAGGGTGGTGGTCTTCCAGTGGGGTTATTGCCCTTAGGAGAGCCCCGAGGGCACTCTTTTGCCCCTCCCGCCATGTGAGTGCTCTGTGGGAAGGTGCTGTCTGTGAACCATGGGCCTCATCACACACAACCTGCCTGGAGCCGTGGCCTCCAGAACTGTGGAAAGTCAGTGTTTATCAGCCACCCAGACCATGCCACTGCATCACAGCAGCCCAAGCTAAGGCACATACTGTCCAGAAGGTTTGTGCCTGTTGTGGCATGTTTCACCATTTGATTTTTTTCACTGAATGACGATCCTATAACATGCTTTTTAGTGGCCCTGATGTTTCATACTGTGGACGTGTCATCGTGCCCATGGTTCTAGATATTTCCCCCAGGGAAGCCCACCTGCCCCCTAGCTCAGTGCAGACTCTGGAGAGCGTTCACAGGTGTCTCCTCCACTTGGCCCCGCAGCTTGGTGTGGGTAGTGACCTAGATTGTGGTCATGGCCTTGGGCTGGGTGGGCAGAGTGTGTGAGCCCCCACCCCTGAGTTCTTGGGCTGAATACCAAGGACAGATTCACCTGCATCAAGAAGTACAAAGACCTTTGCTGAGCTCTGGCTCCCTGAATGCGGCAGGTGCCACGCCCGTGTGTCCGATTACATTTATACGCAAAATGGGCACACGCGTGCTCTGCGACCGCTCGCCTTGCAAGCATTGGCTCTGCACTTCCACCCACCCCGTCTGTCCTCCTGTGTGCCATGATTGGAGTCCACTAGTTCAGAGCTGGCTTTAGGGTGGAGCAGGTTTATCTCGCCTCTGCCAGGGCAGGTGGGAGTTCTCATGCAGTTTACCTTCAAACAGGCAGATGTTCTTTTCAGATAAGCCTTGGGATCTGGGACTGTTTGACAAATACTGAAATAGGTACAAAAGGAGTTTGATTCAAGTCCAACGGGGCAGAACAGGCTCTTCCCTCGGGGTAGGGAACCTGGAACCTGCTCACTTACTGGAGTGGAGCACATGGAGGTTCGTGCAGGTCATGAACCACTGGCCCTGGAGCCTGGAGTAAACACGCAGGGATAGATAGGCACCAAATGTTCAAGTATCCAAGGGAGGAAGCCTGAACATTGGGAAAATCCACTCCATTTAATTTTTCATGTGCACTGGGGTCAGCCTCCATAATTTGATTTCAAGCAATGGAACCCCAGAGATCTGGAGGGCCGGTTACAGCCTCGTGTTCACACCTGTGTCAGCCACGCTTGGCTGGAAGCCACGTCTCAGAGGTCTGCGTCTTAGTTATCTGGTTCCAGAGTTTGGCAGGGACAGGCGCCCAACTCGTAGGCTCGGGAATGGACCTCGTCTTCATGCTGGCCCCAGGGAGCCTGGAGCAGGGGTGCCACTGTCCCACGCAGGGGAACCCCAGACGCAGAGTGAGGCTTCCACTCCTGAGCTAGTTGACCTCTGGCCCCAATATTGTTTGGGGTTTGATTAGGTGTTTTTTGTTTGTTTGTTTTGGGTTTTTTTGAGACAGAGTCTCTCTCTGACACCCGGGCTGGAGAGCAGAGGAGTGATCTCAGCTCACTGCACCCTCCACCCTCCGGGTTCAAGCAATTCTCGTGCCTCAGCCTCCCAAGTAGCTGGGATTACAGGCGCCGGTCACCATGCCCAGATAATTTTTGTATATTTTGAAGAGACGGGGTTTCACCATATTGGCCAGGCTGGTCTCCAACCCCTGACCTCAGGTGATCCACCCATCTCAGCCTCCCAAAGTGCTGGGATTACAGGTGTTGAGTCACCGTGCCCGGCCTGATTTGGTTTTGAAGCTGAAAACTTTCTTGCCCATCTCTCTAAAATCGGCTTGCCCTTGTATATTTGGGTAAATGGTGACTCTCCACTTATAGGTTGGAGTAGAAACTGCCCAGGGACAGCTCCGAACCCTGGTGGCCTCGGTGCAAAGCTGCCCTCATCGGCAGGCCCTGGGTAGCCCCAGTCTTCTCTCTGCCCGAGCGGCCAGCCCAGGGCCAGCTGTTCAGGTGCTGCTGGGTGCCAGCCTGGGTGGCCCCACCAGGCTTTTCTGACGCAGCCCAGGCCACTTCCCGTGGGGACAGGCTCCTAGGGCGAAGCAGTTCAACATGGAGACGTCTGTTTCCTCTGGGTTTTCTGAGGCGGCTTTGTCATTTTTCACATACAGATTGATTTTCAGAACTTTTTAGGAGCCACCAGGCCTCGGAGCATTTGTGTCACCTCAGGGCTGAGAGCCAGGGCCACAGAGCTGGCCCCACAGCTAGCGTCCAGCTGGGAATCAGGTGGAAGAAGATGGCTCCGTGGAGGGAGGGCCCGGCCAGCCTGAGCCCAGCCAAAGGTCAGGAGGCCGCCATCCTGGGAAGGGGGTTGCAGGCCGCTGACACCGGGGGATGACGGAGGACCCTTAGGTGTCCTGGCACTCGCGGCTGAGCCTGGAAGGTGGGCCTGGCTGCCCTCCTGGACCCCCTCCAGGGGGTCTAATGTCCCGGCTCCCGTGTCCCGTGCTCCCGCCCCTCGGGAGCGTGGCCTGAAGGCCTGGGTCCAGCTGCCTGCCCTGGTGACCCCAGGGACCCGGTGCGCTCCGGCCATTCTGCCAGGCCTAAGGGCAGCACGACGTGGTCAGAGGGCAGAGACCCTCATGAGGGGAGGCCGCAGAGGGCGGCAGTTGAACCCCTTCGGCCTGAGGGAGCTCGAGGTGGGAAGCTCGGGTAGGGACACTGGGGAGCCCCGGCCACAGCGCGCGGGCGCCCAAATCTCGGACCTGGCGAGGCGCCCGTGGGTTGGGTGGGTGTTGCCCCCACGCCCCGACTCAGCCCGAGTGTCCCCAGTTCCCGGGGCTCCCCGCCCTTCCAAGAGCCGTAAGCGGACCCCAGCCCCGAACCCCAGCCCCGGCGGATCCCCAATCCCCGAGCCCCAAGCCCGG